AATATGCACCAATCAGCTTTAAGATTTTGCCTTCGTTTTAGATGCCAGTAAAACCATACACTAACGTTCCTGGTAATTGAGAATTTATTATATCGGTTAGCCAGGTTATGCCGATCATGTCGATCATCACACGTGTAACATCCAATTGATATATGAATCCTACAATTTTTTTAAATTTAAAATGACAATATCTTTACCCACTAATTAAGTTCAATATTTTATTTTATTTTATATTAATTCTACTGATTTGAAGAATTGAAAAGAAATTTTTGTCAAATTCCATCAGGTGGTTGTCAAGATATCTTCGTTTAAAGTTGAGTTAGAATTTAAAACGCCCATAAATTAGAAGCAGCGGCAAAGTTTTTTTTTAAACTTTAAATGAAGATATCTTGACAACCACCTGGTGGAATTCAATGAATCTTTTTTATTTTAATTCTACTATTTTGTAGAATTAAACAAAAAAATTTGTCGAATTCTATTAGGTGGCTGTCGAGGTATCTTTGTTTAAAGTTGAGTCAAGATTTAAAAAGTTAATGTCAAATAGAAGTTGCGGCAATTTTTTTAAAAAACTTTAAACGAATATATCTCGACACCCTCCTGATGGAATTTAATAATTTTTTTTATTTTAATTATACCTGATTGCAGAATTAAAATAAAATTTTATCGAATTCTATTAGGCGGTTGTCGAAATATCCATTTAAAGTCATATCAAGATTTAAAACATTCAATTAGAAGCTGTGGCAAAATTTTTAAAATTTAAATGAAGTTATTTTGACAATCTTCTGATGGAATTTAATGAAATTTTTTATTTTAATTCTACTAGTTTACAGAATTAAATTAAAAATTTTTTATCGAATCCCATTAGGTATTTGTTGAGATATCTTCGCTTAAATTTGAGTTAAGATTTGAATCATTCATCAATTAGAAGCTGCGGCAAATTTTTTAGACAACTTCTCAATGGAATTCGATAAAAAATTTTTATCTTAATTCTACGGTTTGTAGAATTAAAATAAAAAAGGTTTATCAAATTCAATTAGGCGGTTGTCAAGATATCTTGGAGCTAAGATTTAAAACATCTATCAATTAGAAGCTGCGTCAAATTTTTTTAAAACTTTAAGGGTAGGAGTATGTAGATCATTTTTCATATAAAATTGGTGATAATCAAAAAATATTAACTGTTAGATCACTATATCAAGATCACGGGGGTATTTAGTAAAAATACCCTGATCCGTATGTGTACAAGCGGAAACTTCGTTTCCGCTAATACCCAACGGCTCAGGATATTTTTATTACAAATATTATATATAATTCTAATAATATATTTAAATATGCACAAAAAGTTATATTTTGTATAAATGATAATATTTTGTAAACTAATAATCAAAATTAGATGAGTTTTTTACTATTCAATTCATCTCAATAAACTAAATTAAATAGTATAAATTTTATTGCTATTTGGTTATAATATTTCTTCTGACCATAATAATAACTTTTGTTTATTATAATTAACTTATATATCTTTAGCTAGAGATGCTTAAAAAATCTATATAAAATTGATATAAGCTCAAATAATTTGGATGTCAAAAAAAATTAACCAAAAATATTAAAAAATTTATGGCAATTTAAATTTTTAGTAGAATAACAATTTTCTTAATATTTGTTAATATATTTACTATTTTTAAAGTTTTTTTTTAGTAATTATAGCAGTCATGAAAGATACCACATAAGTTTATATATGAGTGTAGGTTTATAATAAAAATTATAATAAAATCATATAAATTTACTATAAACTTTAAGCTAAGATCTTTTTCAATCTACATATTAACTTATTTTTGAATTTTGAACTTAAATACAGTAATACCTCCCTAAATGCACCCTCTCTAAGTGCACACCCTCTTTAAATGCACACTATAGCCCGGTTCCAAGGTCAGGACTTAGTGCTAAGTGCACACCTCTATGTTCTACACATGTATAAGATCTGTAACCCCGGACTTATACATGCACCCTCCGTAAGTGCACGCATGTGATATTTATCCAATAAAATTCGAGATCGTATTCGTATGATACAGTTCGATGCTATAGAAAGTTTATCTTTTTTAAGTATTAAATATTATAAAATAAGAACTGCATCTTTCGAACCTATACTTTATTCAAAGTGCCAATATTTACCTTGTGAGTCGAAACAAGAAGTTTCTATTATATAACCTAGCAATGCTAGGAAGAAATTTATTCAAAATTACCCAAACGCATCTAATCACTAATTTTAACATACTAAACATATGCAAAAAAAGACATTTATTTTTATTAAAGAGCTGATCTTTGAAATACTTATTTATTTTTAATTGGTTTTATTTTTTTTTAGTTTATGCAAAGCGATCTAACAATTTATCTTTCAGGTTCTATTTCTAGATTTTTGTTTTTTTTAAGATCAAAGGTCGTTTAGACTATGTATGAAAAAGATAATACACAAAAGGTAAAAAAATTACATTATCAAAAAAAAAGTCTGCCATTTACAGTAATGAAGCATTAAAATGGCTATTTTTATTATTCCATAAAATAGTTATTAATTTTGCTTTGCTATTGCCAGTTCAATTTTTTTTTTAAAAAAAAATTTTCAATTTTTCTTGCAGCCTTAACATACTTGTTTGCTTCATCTTGTTGAAGCAAAAACATGCACACAGTTTCCAAGCTTGCAATTGCCATATTAAGACTAATTAAAGAAATTTTGATACTATTATCTTCTGAGTCATCATAAGTTAGATCGACTGGCTTGAAAGTTTTTATAAGTTCTTCAATAACTTGGTTGTCCTCAGGAATTTTGTAAACAATATCTTCTGCAGGAATAGAAAGAAATTCTTCAACTAGCATTGGGTTAGAAAGATGAATATGGAGGTCTTCAAGTGCATTAGTAAAATCATCAAGCACTGGATCCACGGTTTGATAAATGTTATCTGTGAGGCTATATAATTCAGCATTAGTATCAATAGAAAGGATGTTCATATAACACCAGAGTTACACATTGTTTTAGCAGTAACTTCTTCCCAGTCTTGAACGATGTAATGTATAGCCTGCAATACATCCATTTTTAGATTATCAGCTTGTTCACCCTTTTCCACATGCTCTAATATCCAGCTTTAAAAAAAAAAAAAAAATTGTATATAAAACTAACTTACAAAAAAACTTATAGTCTTACCGAATATGAAGACAATAGTAGTGTCTCTTGAAGCTTATTATAATTCCAGCTTCCATTGGTTGGATCTTGGAGGTTGCTTTCGAAGGAAAAAAAACAATATCAACGAATTGTAAGGTAAGGCCATCTAATTTATAGCTTGAGCAATTATCGAGAACTAGCAGCATATGTTGACCCTAATACTTTAAACCAACTTGATGATCAAACTCTTGAAGCCACATTTGAAAAAGAGAAGTAATCATCCATGCCTTGGCACTGTTTTTATACATAACAGCTAAATTTTTAAGGTTAATATTTTTAAAACAGCGTGGTTTGGCATATTTGCCAATTATAAGAGAGACCATTTTATGAGAGCTATCAGCATTTGTACATAATGCAATTGAGAGACATTCCCTATCTACTTTGCATCCAGAAAGATGTCGAGTTGCTAATGATCGATCGGGTTCTAACCTACAAAGTAAGTTTTAGTAGTAATTAATAAAACATATAAATGCTGCTAAATGAAAATAAGATATTAATTTATTCTTGATTATTTATTTAAATAATCAATAGTAAACTGATATTTTATTTTCTCTTGACAGCACTCACATATACAGTATTAATGAGCTTATATCTAAAAAAAAGCCCTGTCTCATCCATGTTATAGATTCTATTGATAGAATAGTTGGAGCACTTGTTTCTTAGAGCAGGTAAGGTGCTAATAATAGCTGCTACATCAGCTAACTCCGCTTCTCCTTCAAGTTTATGTTGACAAATATTGTTTTGATCTTTAAACTTATCAAGCCAGCCATGGGAAAAGTTCAACGCACCCTCAGAAATTCCCAAGCCATTGGCAATTATTTTGGCTTTTTCAACAAGTATTGCATCACTTAAAATTGGTTTATTCTGGTAAATTAACACAAATTCTTTTAGGGCATAGTCAAGTGCTAGATATGTTACCGCTCTGTGACACTTGGCATCAGGATTAGTAATTTCAGAGCTAATTCGTTCATCTTTTTTTTTTTGAAATACGTGAAATTGTACTTTCATCAACTCTAACACCCCATTTATTTTCTATCCAATTAACATACTGGGATCGAGTCGATTTATTGTCATGAGCATATATACAAAGTTTACATTTTTGGGCATCAGTGAGGGTAGTTCTTTTGGGCATTTTAAAAGTTTATACTTCAAAAATTATGATTTAGCTATTTTTAAAGGTAAGATAGTTCCTTTATATAAAAATATTATGATAAGATTTGAGAATCTACAACCAGAACCAAGGTTCTGGCTGTGCTAACCACAGATAGTTTAATGAGGCTGTGTCTTTAGAAGTATTATTTGAGTAACACGGTTTGATTTAAAAAAAGTCGTGGCTTGATTTTAATTTTAAATGACCATAACTTGAACCATGGCTTTGGGTCTTATTTGAATATGCGTGAATTGGATTTAATTAGATTTAATTTAAGCTTAGCTTTAAGCCATGGATCAAAGTTGCACTTTTAACTTTAAGCCATGGATCAAAGCTACGTTTTTGACTTAAATCTAGTTGGTTTCAAGTTGTGGCTTTGCTAAAAACTGTCTTCAACATTCTAGTAAATATGTTAGTGTAAATTGTACATATTTTTAATATTAAAAATAGAAGAGCGAATTCCATATAAATGCTATAACAATAAATAAATAAGATAGTAAAAAAAAAAAATTAATTAACTGTTTTTTCAAATTACTATATACATACATACATAAAATTTAGTACTTGCCGATTCACCAAATTTCATAAAGATAGCTTTTAAAGAAAAATATTCACTTTATAAACTTTGCTTATTATATAATTACAACTGCTTAACTATTATTTAATTTTTTTTTTTTTTTGTATGCTCCTTTTAATATGCATAGCTATAAATTTAATTATCGTATCTTAGTTCCTTTTTAAATTCTTAAATTCTGATAGACTGCAACAAGTTTTTTACCTGTTCATTATTTAATAAATTTTTCAAGCTTTTTGCATCTGTATAAGTGATCCTTTAATCAAGTTACACTTTTGGCGAGGCGCAATTTCCATAACTTTTGTAAAGTTCAAGCGAATTTCTTTAATAGAGGCCTTCCACGGAGTATAATTGTTTATAATTTTATATTTTAAAAAGAGAACGATAAAGTTGTATTTTGAATTAGTTGAATAAATAAATACTATCCCATTGTTACGTATTATGATTACGTCAGAATGTATTAATTCATTTAAAAACAGGTTAAAATCAATCGTGTTTTAAACATTCTGTTTTCAAAATATTTTCCATCCCTAGTTGCAGATTACAGATGTGTAATGTGGGCACGAAACATAAAAACTGCAAATTCAAAGAAAATTTACTTGTACGTATGTACGTACGTATGTAGAAGTAATTTTTATCTGCGCACTACAGATCCGCATAATGCATTTTTACGGATATTTAATTCTTGATTCTGATTGGCTAATCAGGGTTCCCCCAAATGCACACCCAAGGGTGTGCACTTAGGGAGGTATTACTGTATATTGAAAATTGTAGAATAAAGTCACTTAAAACAACTTTTTAAAATTTTGCAAATTTTGTACATTTTGCTAATAAAATATGATTTAATCATATACATTATATAAATTATAGGTTAACCTATTAACGATATATAAAATGTCTTTATCTATATATACAGCACTATTAACTATTTTCCTACGTACAACTGTTGTTAAAATGAGTAATAATGTTCTTTGCTAGTAAGGAAATTCTTTATATAGATCATAAGCAGTGTTGTCACTTGGCCAGCCATTGGCCGTGGCCAATGGCCAAAAAGACCAAGAAAATTATTTGGCCGAACGGCCAACTATTTTGTATAGCAAAGCTAGGAATATGATTGGTTAATTTTGTAAAAGTTAGAAACTTTGGTCAAAGTTTGGCCGTTGGCCAGTTGGCTGTTGGCCAATTGGCTGGCCAAAGGCCAAGAAAATTGTTTGGCCGCTAAAAATTGCCAACACTGATCATAAGGAAGGAAATCCCAAAAGTTTAAAGCATCTGTATTATTTGGATAAATTTCTAATGATTTGCTTAAATCTGCAAGTGACTCTTTATACCAGCCCATCATGCGAAAAGTTTCTCCACGTTGACTTAACGTATCTGCATTATTTGGTTCAATCTATAATGATTTATTAAAATCTTCAAGTGATTCTTTATATTTATTTAACCTGCGATAAGTTGCACCACGAAAACTTAATGTATCTGCATCATTTGGATCAACTTCTAATGATTTATTTAAATCTGCAAGTGATTCTTCATATCTATATATCCTACGATAGGTTGCTCCACGTAGACTTAATGCAAATGCATTATTTGGATTATTTTCTAATGATTTATTTAAATCTGCAAGTGATTCTTTATATCTGCTCATCCTGCGATAAGTTGCACCGCGAAAACATAGCACAGATGCATCGTTTGGATTAATTTCTAATAATTTCAAGTGATTCCACATATCTATCCATTTTACGATAAGTTTCCCCACGAAGTTTTAACGCTTCTAAATTATTTTGGTCAATTTTTAATGCTTTATTTAAATCCGCAAGCGATTTTTCAAATTTGAACATTTTATAATAAGTAATTCCACGACTTATTAATGTTTCTACATAATTTGGCTCAATTTCTAATGATTTATTTAAGTATACAAGTGATTCTTCATATCTTTTCATTTTACGGTAAGTCTCTCCACGGCGCTTCAATGATTTTACATCCTCATTATCATCTTGTTTACAATCATAAACCGGCTCCATATTTATTGTTTTTAATCTATCACAAATTTCTCTTATGTTAGGACGTAAATTTGAATCACCATTCCAACAATCACAATAAAGATTCATAAAATCGACCGGCGTTCCATGAATTGGTGTTTCTCTGTTGCCAGAAGTTACATGTAAGACTATTTCTAAATCTGTCATGCTTTCATAAGGGGGTATGCCACTTGATAACTCCCAGAAAAGCATGCCAATACTATAAATATCATATGGTTTACCTCGTTTATATGATTGTGAATTTTGGAGATACATTGGATCGGAAAATGTGTATTTTCCGGCAGCGATAGACATTGAGTTATTTTCTAATGAACTTGATAAACCAAAATCCGCGATCATTAGCCTACCATTATGTACTAATATGTTTTTATCATGCTAATAATTCAAAATCGTTAACATATGCGCATACGTAGTAAAACAAAAATGGTAAATCATTAACTTATAAAAAAAAGCTTCTTACAAGGTCACGATGAACAAGATTTGCGATATGTAAGCATTTAATTCCACTTGAAATTTCATTTGCCATTCTAATTTTAGTTTGCCATTTTAATTCTAAAAAATGGTTACGTAAGTAGCTTCGAAGATTACCATTGTTTGCGAATTGAAGAACCATATAGTATGTCTCTGTTTTTGGGTCTATTTCATGTTATAATTTTATCAGTTAACTTAGATATTAATAAATTTCATCTCTATAACATCAAATTGAAACGCATCGTGCCTTGAGTGATTCCAAAGAATCGTATTATACTACTATGATGATTAACTTTAGTAATATGTTTAATCTATAGTTTATTAATAAATGTGTTTAATTCCGGTTTAAAATATTTTAGAATACAACTAATAAACATAAAAAAATAGTTCATACTTCTCCAGCAAATTCTTGAACACTTGTAGGTGAACATTTTAAGGCTATAGTTTCGTCTGTATTTTTTGAATATGCACTAAATACAGTGCCAAAACCTCCTTCATCAATTTTTTCCCAGTTTGCGAAAGATTCATACTCAAATAATGTAATATATTCATGTTCGACTGCAAATTTAAACCAATTTAACATGTTTATTGCGCATAACCTAGTAATGCAAATTAATGAAGAAAACTAAAGAAATCACAAATAATTCATGTTGAACAAATTTTAAATAGTCATCTGATACATTCTATATAAGGATTAATGTTAAAGATTATAAATTAGCTCTAATTTGTAGCGTGGCATTGATTGGTCAGTGTGATGAATAGGGATGTTAAAAAGTCCGTCTGGTCCGGTCCCGGTCCAGTCCCTAAAAAGTCTGGTCCTGAACTAGTTAGGAA